GGGAAGTTTGCGTTTTTTCTTTTACTCTACCATATCTAGCACAGAGTCTGGTAAGTAGTAAGTGCCTGATAAATGCTTGCTGTTACAATTGATGACAGTGACATTATCATAGTGAAGGTGTTTTGTGTACAAGGTTCCCTTGAGATATCTGAACATGAGAGATACTGGATCATCAACAGAGAGGAATAGCAAAAAGGCCCAATGCCTTTTGTGCCATTGATGCAACTATACATGAAGTCCTGAGCCCTGTGCTTTGATCTCCTCTGTCCTTCCCCACTGTCTTTATCCACTTTTATTATCTTCACCTAATGCTGATAATCACTTCTTTCCACCTCCTTCCTTCATTCTGCTCGCTGTGGAGACTCTGGAATATAGACATAGCATTGATGAAGCATCAAAACCATATTTCTGTTTAATAAAAAAAAAAACCTGTGGGGACTTAGAACTTTCTGTCCTAAAGTTTTTTTCCCCATTTAACAAAACATGAAGGAAGAAAGGCTAACAAAGCACCATTATAGTTCGTCATCCCTGGGGACATAGGAATAACTTTCTAAATGGATCCTGATGATTTTACCTATGTCACCATCAACCTCAGCATTTTTAGTGTTAACATTAGTCATGATGGTATTCTTGATAGCAATCCTTTTGAACAAATATGGGGAATAAATCACAGAAAATTATGTTTTGTATTCTGCCTACCTCAAAAAAAGGAATTGCTGTGGCATGCTATGTTAAAAGACACATTTAACAGGAAAATTAAGACTAAAACCAGAAAAAAAAAACAATTAAAAAAAGTAGAGAAATAGATTACCAGACAGCTGGAATGAGTTAGTTCCTGCAGGTAAGCACTGAATTTAACTTTGAGTTCCCTAGCAGCTAAGGCAAAAAGAGAAACACATTGGATTATGTAGTATTTATTGCCCAATAAAAGGAAGCATGCATATGAATTCATTTAAAGGGACAAACTTTTCCCCTGATGCTGAATTTTAGAAAGAACTTGTCACATAGATCCTAATACAAGGCACAGTTGGTAACCTAATAGATAATATCTTCGACTCTGGTTTTGCAAAGAATGAAAAACCATTCATTCTTCAAATAGATTTTAAAAAAAATTAGCTCTCTTTAAGGAATGAAAGCAAAACCTTAAATCTTAACTAAGTGAAGATATTTCTGCAGGGGACTGAGAAAATATATTTCAGATATGTTGCTTTCAGGAATTTACCGGGACTCCAGCTAAGACAGATTAAGCAAAAAGGACTGTCTTTAAAATACTCTCATTTTTCTGCCCCAAACCTTCAATGAATCTCCATTGTTAGTAGGATAAATTACCAATTTTTCCACCAGACATCAAAGGTGCATCACTGCTTGCCCTTAACTTGCTTTTGAATCTTTACCTCCTTTTATTTCTCTACATGACCCCTTTGCTTTGTGGATAAACTGGTTCAGTTCTTGCCCCTGAATATGTCTTTTGCTTTGTAATCTTTAAAATTTTGCTCATGCCATTTTTCCCACTTAAAATTATTTTTCCCATCTCTGATTAGATCTCAGAGGGATTGTTTTATCCATTCAACAAACATTTAAAAAGTATCTGCTATGCAAAGGGCCTGTGCCAAGTGCCAGGAATACAAAGAAGAAGCAAAAACAGTCTGCCCTCAAGAAGCTTATTTTCTATTGAAAGACTGGGATATAACAGTTAAATAAACACAAGGTAATTTGAGGAGGGGGGGAGTACTGCTTATCAAACGACCCAGGAAAGGCTTCCTGTAAGAGATAACATCTGTATTGTGCCTCAAAAGAAGCTAAGAATTAAAAAATGCAAAGGTGAGCCATTCTCATCAAGGGGGCACCATGGGCAAAGACACCAAAGTGGGAGATTGAATGCTGAGTTCAAGAAACAGCAAATCGTCCAATTCAGCTAGAATGTAGGCTCTTTGAAAGAGAGTGAAGTGAAGCAACTCGGGATAAGTAGGCTGGAACCAGGCTACCAAGGGCTTTACCAAACTGAAGAGTAGGTGTTTTATCCCAGAGGTAATAAGGAGCTACTGAAAAGTCTTAAACAGGGAAGCAGCACGGTTTGTCTCATGCTTTAAGGAAATTATTTTGGCAGTGGTTTGTATACTGGCCGCACGCCGACCTTCTGCCGTCCGTATGCCGGTACCCGCTCCTCCTATAAGAAGCACACTACTAGAGTCTTACCCACACCCGGGTCTTCGGTCCTCAGCCAGATCACCACACAGAGACGAGCCATCGGGAGGCGCCAACACCAGAGCTTTATTCAGAGGCCAACACAGCAAGCCATCATAGCAAGTCCAAGCAGCAAGGCCAAAGCAACAGGGCAGGAGCCAGGAGAGCGCGCGTGTGATCTGACCACGCTTGTTCCTAAAAACCTACCTAGCCCCTCCTCCCCAGCCCGCTTACTAGCCAATGATTGTAGGGTCAGATACCGGAAGGGGCTGTCTGAGTTTAGCACACCAAGGGGGAGGGAGTGACGTAGGAGGCTAGGACCGGATATAGGAAGGAGGGGTCTGGGATTAGCGCATAGACAGAGTACGTGACCTAGGAAGTCAGACTCAGGAGGGGTCTGGGGTCAGTGCTGCACAAAGGGACCCAGGAAGTCAGGAAGGTCACAAGAGGCGTCTGGGGATGACGTTGCATATAGGGAGGGGACTAAGCAGAGGGAAATCAGTCCTCTGCCGTCCCACTCACACGTGGCACCGCCCCTTGCCTCAGGAGCTCAAGCTGGCTACTTCCTTGTACCCAGCTTATCTCACAAGCACCGCCCATTGCCTCAGGGCTTCTCTGTATCCAGCCCATCCCAGTTCACCACGACTCTGCCTACCACAGCCCCTACCTCGACTTCCAAAATACCCAGATCTTACCCTACTCTTGCCACAGCGCCCAACCTGGTAGCTGCCAACATCAGACAGTCCCTCACAGGTTTGGAGGACAGAACGGAGAACAGAATGTTGAACATCTACCTCTCATTAGTTAGCCAATACTACTTAGGCTACTTACCTCATGGGTAGTGAAGAAAGTGCTCTGGAAATCTTAAAAGTGCTGTATCATAACGTACATTATCATTTTGTTATGCGCTTATTAAAGAGAAAACCAACGTTCCGGAGATTGCTTTGTAGAGTGACCCTAGCAGCATTAGGCTTATGTCACCAGCCCTAACTGTCATGGTGAGCAGCCAGGTGTCTCAACCACTAATAGATGCTCTTTGAATCTTTGCTACACTGTTCATAAATAAAGGAAGAAAAACTGAAAACATGTTTATTGAGGTGCAACAAATAAAAAATACCGAATCACTTAAGAATGTGGAGACTGATTAGAGACACCTATGGAACGTGGTTCTGTGATCTTAATACAGTCATGATGAGTTCAAACTTCAGCTGAAATGTGGAACCAGACAAAATCATGGTTGAATGATAGGAACTGTGCTGGTTCTAATTCATTCTAATGATTCAGCAAGAACTTATCAAATGCTTATTTATGAAAGAAACTATGAGAAGTGCTAGGAATGCCAAGCAAAAACAAAAACAATCCCGCCCTCAAGAAGCTTACATTCTAATAAAATCCCAGAACCATAAGCCAACTGCTAATGTCACAATGACTTTGATGACATAATTATTATGTGTATTGTTTTCTTGGTTCTAACTACTTTGTCTTTCGATGCTTCTCTGTATTCTATTCATATTATTCCATTATATTCCTGTTCTACAACTTGTTGAGACATTCCTCAATTGAAGGGCATCTACTTCTTTCAACCCCCCTTCCCCCAATTCTTTCTAACTATAGAGAGTACCACTATAAATATTTTGGTGTATACGGAACTTCGTTTTTTGGTCATTGGTGTTGGAATATATGCCTAGCCGTGGCATCTTTACATCAAAGGGCATGGACATTTTAGTCACTCTTTCTGCATGAATCCAAATTGATTTCCAGACTGGTTGCACCAATTCACAGATCCACTAACAATGCACTAGTGTATGCATCTTTCCTGAGTCTCTCCAATCTAGATTAGTCCCATTTTTGGTCATCTTTGACATTTTGCTGAGTGTGAAGCAAATACTCAATTATTTTTATTGGATTTTTCTCATTCTTAGTGGTTTGGGGTGTTCCTATGTAGTTATTGTTTTTGTATTAGTGGTTTGGGTCATTTTTCACATGGTTATTAATAGTTTATAATTCTTTTGTGAACTCTGTAATTATTCATTGACTATTGATTTCCTGGAAAATGACTTTTGATCTTATGCATTTCTGTTAGTTGCTTATATAGCTTAGGTATCAGATGCTTATCAAAGATAATTATTTGATACAATCTTTTTCCTATTAACTTTTCTCTCTTTCTTTTTTAACATTACAATTGCTAACTACCATTCTCAATTAACCAAGACGAAAAAGAAACAAAGAAACCCTCTTGTAATGAATAAACATATCCAAGCAAAACAAATCCATACAATCATCATGTCCAAAAATACAGGTTTTTGTTCCTCGTCTCCATCGGTTTGTGCTTCTCTGTTGGGAATGCAGAGGCTGGTGGCAGGGGAGGGATGCTGGGTTAGGCTTTAAGGATTATCATTGTCTACGGTTAATTCATAAGGATTTAACCTTTTTGGCGTCTCCTCTTCTTTGTCCTATGGATTCAGTTGCACTTGTTCTATATCTGGTGTATAATTCCTCTTTTTTTGGGGGGGGTTGTTTTTAAGAATTAAAGGGGTCTGGAGAAAGTGGGTACCATGCCATATTTCTGGTCACATGACCCAGAAGTCTCAAACTTATTTTTTTAATCTGTAAAAGAGACAAAACCATACTTATACTAAATATCTTTATAAAATTATTGCTAGGAAAATACTTTGTAATCTATTAAAAAGTGATAAACAAATGAGCTATTAAGTTTAATATTATTATTAATGGAACACTAGTTCCATTATTGTTGACATGAAAAGCCAAAAGCCAAATTAAATTTTGAAAACTGAAATGAATTCTTCTCCAATCAGGTTCATCTAGCAAAAAATGTGATTTTGAAGTTGACTTCTGTGTGATGACACTTGATGGTAGTATGCAGGTGGGCTGGACTAAGAAGAATGGAATTACTAGTACTTCACCTCCATACCACAATCACAACGGAAATGAGTCTGGTAAGAATGTTTAATGAATAGATTTATTTTCTGATTTTTGGCATATATTTGGGGGTATTCTAAGAATTCTCCTTAAAACAAAGGAGAATGATATTTATTCTTATGTTTCTTTACCCTGTTGGTTTGAGGAAGATACAGTTTTGCAAAATTAATAAGAATTTTTCTCCATGATAATCAAGAGAATAACTTTCAACCACTATTATTGAAGTAGAAGCTGCTTGATTGGTTATGACTTTCATTGGTAAGTTATTTTTTTAAAAGTAGTGATCAATAACCATGTTCTCAAATCTTAAGTAACTTATGACTACTTTGATTTCAGTTCACGTCATCTACTTTTTGTGTCTTTTACTGCCCTGTCTCAAATATTCACTGTCTCTCAAAAAAAAATCAAAAGTCTTCTCAATATCATATGGTCTATAGTTACTCTTCCTTCTCTCCCTAACTCCCTGCTTCCTTTTCCTTCTATCCACTGTCCTCTTTTGGTGCTCTCTCCTTCTTGCTCTGCATCTCTTCTGAATTTGATTGTCTACATGAAAGACTAAATTCAATAGCTTTTGACTATTTTTAAAGATGCTTCATCAGAGTAAAAAGTGACTGAGACTAGAAATATATTTAGTTATGTGCATTTAATAATAACTGATAGTTCTAGAGTGCTTTAAAGTTTGTAAAATGCTTTACATCCTGACAACCTTGTGAGGCTAGGTACTATAAGCATTATTATCAGCAGTGTTGTTTCATAAAGCAGAGAGGGTTAGAAAAGAGTAAATTCAGTTTAAAGAAAACCTGGCAAGACATTCAAAGTCATCCCAAGGTCATTTAAGGATGAAAATGGAAGAAGGAGAGCATACAGAAGAAAACTGAAAAAAGACCTGCAGACCTTTATAACAAATTAGTTTGTCCATCAAGGACAGTGAAGTCAAGACACTTACATCATAACATTACAGTCTAGGACATGCTTAGAGGGAAAGTAAAAATGGTGCCAAAGAGAACGAAGCAGAGATGGGGAAATCAGATGGATTGGAATATATATATATATATATATATACACACACACACACACACACACACACACACACACACACACACACACACGTACATACACAAAATGTATACATATATTCTCTCTATGTATATAAATAATGATATATGAATATAATATATAATATTATATATATATGAATTTTTGCTGAAGTGACACAATTATGAGGGCATAAGGGATTGATAGATAAGTCATCTGAGGGAGGGGGAGATACCAAAAAGCATAGTTAAGATGAAAAGTGAGTGAGAAATAGCCACTGATATTTATGTCTACTTTTCCATCTATCAAAGAGCTTTGAGATTCATCTATACATAAAAAGGGCATCCTAATGAGGATATTAGTAGGGAATAAAAAGTTTTCTCAAGAAATATTTAACAATGGATCCAGGGTGGCTAGGTGGTACAGTGGATAGAGTACTGGCCCTGAAGTCAGGAGGACCTGAGTTCAGTCTCAGACCCTTGACACTTACTAGCTGTGTGACCCTGGGCAAGTCACTTAACTCCTATTGCCTCACACACAAGAAAAAAAAGAATAGATCACATCTTTATTATTTCACAACTAAATAAAAGATGTAGAAAATGGAAGATTCCACTGAGCTTGTTGTTGATTATGAAAAAGCCTTAATGTCACTTTTTAAATAAATTATTTCCCATTCTTAAATCAAAATCTTTCCAGATTCTTTGGAAGATACAGTGATAGCCCCAATCAAGGTCCCATTTGATGAATATAAACCTGAGTGAGGTAAGACATAAAACAAGGAATTAGAAGTTTGCCATAGGTGTTTGCCACAGTGTTAGAGGAGACCCAGTGCATGGTTTAGGTTTTCCTGTGGAAGGACTCCATGTGCTTCTGTTTAGAGATGATGTGGTGTTGATTACATCAAGCCTCAGAAGCTTGCAGAGCTTTCTTCTTGAGATCTGTAATCATTTAAAAGAATTTTGCCTAAATATCTTACATAGGAAAGACCAAGTAGAAGACATATGTCTTTATCAGGTTATAGAATGTATTTTGATGGGAAACCAATAAAACTTGTCCATCACTATGAATATCTGGGAAATACAGTACATACCAACAATAAGTTTGGACCAGGGTTAAACAGGAAGAGAAGAAAGTGAGCTGGATTGCATTCAGGAAATTGCAAGGTTCCTTTAATGACCCTAAGCTTCCCAGGTACATCTTTTTTAAAACCCACATAATGTTAGGGTTGATATGTAGAATCAAGACAGAATACTTCAATTAAAAAGGAATATCTTACAGAGGGCAATGGAAACACTCATAGCAGATGTGAAGAAGCTGTAACATATAATCAATAAGGAACTTTAAAGAGGAACAGAAGTAAAAGATATCTGATAGGACGAGAAGATGGGCGGGTCAGGTGGCAGGAGTGGCAGACGACAGATGGACAGCTAGTATGCTTCCCTGATACCTTCACAATGTCAGGATAAGTCATTAAAAGGCTCCACCAAATTGAGTGCACCTTCTTTAATTAAATAATGGAAGGACTTGTATAACAAGCACATAGGATGATTGACAAAAACTTCCAAGTGGATGCGATTAAAGATCTACTTGAGTATTTACATATTGACAAATTTAGGTTAAGAGCTTGAGGGACTTTGTCCATTGGCACACAGCTAATAAATATCAGAGATAGGACTTTAGGGTTTTCAGACTCCAGATCCATCATTCTATTCATTCTGTTAGTCTATGATGTCTCCATTAAGCACCTTTGTTTCTGAAAACAGATTATTTATTTTAAAGCTTTCATTTGAATCCATTGTGATTCAACCTTATATCTGTTCAGTATTCTAGTCAAATACAGAAATGCAGATTAGAAAACAAATGTTCTTTTCCAGTCTACCTCTAATAAACAAAATTGTTGTTTCCACTCTTACTTGCTTTGTTGTTAAGTAAACATTGGCCGGGTGGGATCTGTTTTTCCAAGTCACAAAATTACTTCTTAATTATTATAGAAAATTTTTAAATAATTAACTTTATGGAATTATTTTTGCCTTTGCTCCAAAACATTGTTTGTATTGTTCAACATATAATCAGTGCTTTCAGAAGTTTTGAAAGTCAAGGATGAAAATCTATTAGAATGTTTAAAATACTTCTCTGTCAATATTTGAAATCCACTAAAACTCAGTGCAAAGTAATTAAAGCATCATATTGATTTTTTGTAAAATATGGAATTGGATTCAAATCAAATCCTTGTGATTAAAGCAAATTCAAATAAGGGTCTTCAATTACAGTTAAACATTTTTTAAATGAAGAGAATCATTGTGTTAGTCTTAACAATAATTAAAATAGTGCCAGGAAAAGAAAAATAATATGAGTCTGAGACTCATTGTTCTGTTCCTGAGTAAGTAGATAATACTTTTAATAATTCTAGGGGCCAGTTGATGTCAAAGTGGACTTATTCTGTTATTTATAGTGCTTAATTTGCTAGAAATATGAAATCTAAAGGTTGTTTATGATGCCCTATAATTATGAGAAGAAAGTAATTTACCTTGTTAGTTTAAAGTTTTAACTGTAATGTTTTTTTCTTTTATTCTTAAATATCAAGAAGTTTTTTTTATCCTGATCAACTAATAAATTATTAGCTAAAATACATAAATAACAAAACACATGCAATGTGCCAAATTATCCAGACTAATTCTAATATCATTTTAGCTACTGTGTGACCCTGACCAAAGTACTTTGCACCTTAAGTTTCCTCATCCATAAAATTATTTTTCTGGAATCCAGATTTGGCTGTGCTGTTCCGCTGTTCCAAAACCTTCATTGGCTCCCTATTGTCTCTAGGATAGCACTTCAACCTAGTTCTTCATGATCTTGCAGGCAGCAACCTTTTTAGTCTTAATTCATGTGCCCTCCTTGACTTACTATCCTATTAGCTATTTCCATACCTGATGTTCTCTCTTCCATTTCACTTGCCTTTGCACAGGTAGTTTACCCATGTCTGAAATCTACTTCTTCCTCATTGCTACCTCTTAAAAATTTAAAACACATCCTTTAAAATATGTCTCAGTTGCTATCTCCTAACAAGAGGTCTTTCCTAATTTCATTGCATTTCCTTTTAATGCCAATTATTAGTGTTCTTACCCTCTTGAAATTGTATATATAACACTATAATTTAAAAAAAAAACTATTAACTTATCTGGGTTCATGTTGTATTTCTCCAATAGGATATAAGCTTCTTGAATGCATAGACTTAATATTTTTTTCTTTATGTCTTCTGTGACTAGCATAGTACATTCTATACAGTAGGTACTTTATAAATGTTTATTGAATTAGTTTGAGGAGACTGGTCCAGAGAGCACCAAAGTTCCTTTCAAGTTTCTCATTCTATGATTCTATCACTCCTATTTCATTTTATCCAAATGACTCCTAGTGTGTTGTTGTTGTTGAGCCATTTTTTCAGTTGTATCTGACTCTTCATGATCCCATTTAGGGTTTTCTTTATTTTTTTTGTTTTTTATTTTTTTTTAGACATTTGGGGTTAAGTGACTTGCCCAGAGTCACACAGTTAGTAAGTGTCAAGTGTTTGGTCTGAGTCCAGATTTGAACGCAGGTCCTCCTGACTTCAGGGCCGGTGCTTTATCCACTGTACCACCTAGCTGCTCTAATTTGGGGTTTTCTTGACAAAGATACTGGAGTGGTTTGCCATTTATTTCTCCAGCTCATTTTACAGATAAGGAAACTGAGGCAAAAGGGATTAAGTGACTTGCCCAGGGTCACACAGCTAGTAAGTATAAGAGGCTAGATTTGAACTCAGGAAAATGAGTCAGCCTCACTCTGTGCACTGTGGCACCACCTAGCTGCTGACTCCCAGTATAATCCAGGTCTAAATAGAATCACTACGGAAACATCCATTTGATTATGTGAGGCTGACTTAATTCAAGTGTATTTATGCAATGAATATGGGTTACAGTAGACATTATTGGATGACATATATACATCT